CAGAGGTACACTCCAAATGTCTCTCTCCCCTCTGAATAGCACTCCCTTTACCCTGTGGAGCTGAGCTCAGCAGAACAGGGCCTCCAGGACTTGGGCAGGCAGATCCCATGAGTCTCCTGTTGTGGTTGGTGCCAGCAAGCCTGTAGCAGGGCAACAGGCACTTCTTCCTTTTCCTAATAGAGTGCAACCCCCAGATCCTCCCTCTGGATGACTGAGCTCAACAGAATGGTATAGGGGGGCTCAGTTGTAGGAAAATCAGATCATATGATTACTCCATTGTAGGAATAGTGTGGGCTGAGTTTGGAGGGTAGATGTGAATGCCCCCTCCCACCTACAATGTAGCCACTCAACGTAGCACATGTCCCTCTCATTCCCTCACAAAAGCCTCCTTGGGAGAGGTGCACTCTGATTAATTACCCTGTGGGACTGAACTCAGTAGGATGGGTTCACAGGGAGTGGAAGGCTAGACCAAATGAATCCACATGTATGAGGGGGAGTGGGGCCAGCAATTCTCTTGAGGTTGGAAAAGAATGGACCTCTTTCCAGAGCTACAAAGTTCTCAATCTCTTCCAAGAGTTCCTCAAGTAAAGAGCTCCCTAAAAGTCCCTACTGGGTGCAGCCAGCAGATGCCTCTGCAAGACCCAAGCACAGCAGAGTACTGTTGCCAGTAATTGGGGGAGGGAGCAGTGCACTCTCTAGGCTGATGCTATAAAAATAGAGTGCTTGACTCTGGGAAGGTTGCTTCTGGGTCTCTAACCAAATGTCTTCTCTCCTTGGTAGACTGAATCACCACTGATTTTTACCACCAGATGCTATGCGGGCTCCTCTTCCCATCTCTTGCTCTGGATTGGGGAATCCCTGTATGGGTTTGATACCCCAAGCTCCTAGAGTGGAGGTTTTTGCTGTGAGGTATCACTCCTGCTTCTCAGTCATTGCTTGTGGGTGGGGTGGAGTGGGGTCATCCCTTTCCACTCTCTGCCCTTCTTACTTGTCTCTATGTGGCTTTTTATGTAAATCCTTTGTTATAATATTTCAGTTCAGCTAGACTTCAGTTGCTGTTCAGCTAGACTTCAGTTGCTGTTTAGGTTGATTAATCTGTAATTTAGCTGTAAATGTGTTTGGGCACTGGGATCAGGTGACTATAGCTTTGTCCTACTCTTCAGCCGTCTTGAATTGTTTCAGTTATGTTTTGAAGGAGAGAAATTTGCTGTACCAGATGTCAAAAGATAGGTTAATTTATAAATAAAAACATGCTTTCAATTATAAAGAATTTAGGGATTCTATTGATTCACTTGAGTTTGGACTTGTAAATATAGCTTTCCTTGAATTTATGAAGAGCAAAAATGAATACTTTCTTACTTATTTCATTGTAATTGGTACTTAACAAAGACAGTAGCAAAGTATATCTTCAATTGTTCACACAATTATTAAAAATGGAACTCTGCCTTTTGAATTCCTATTAATTTATTCCTAGTTATGACTCCCTTTTCATAGGAAATATCTCATATTTTTCTTTAGTTTGACATATGTTTGTGAAGGTTAATTTAGAAACAATTATGGTATTATCTTGATATTGGGACCATGCCTTTAATAATTTAGTTCATTGATATCCATACTGAACTGGGTTTGGCAACTTTAGATTATTATCATTTCTGTTTTAAATTATTAGTTTTTAAAATTAATGTTTGAACAAATTAAATTTACAGAGAATATAATAAATAGAAGTCATGTTAAAGGGACTTTGTTTTAGAATTTTATAAAACAATCAGATGACTTTATTTTTTAGACTAGGCAGAGCTTTGAGCTGATCTTAAAACTATATATTGAAACAAATGATTATTGATTACCTGTTCATTTAAAGTTAGGCTGCAGGACACATATATTTTAAAATTTGCTTTCTAAAAATAATTTTGGAATTTTCTTTTTTAGGGCAAAGTGAAATGTATGTATTTATTGGAGATTTTCCTCATTTTCCTCTCTTTCCTCTCTCTTTTTTTTTCCCCTGTAACATACATTCATATTTTTATAGGATGCCTACAATAGGTAAGAAAATAAATTTTCAAAATGATTTAGAGTCATTACAAATACTTATATATTGGAATCATTATGAGGCTAATTATTAATTATTGAGTGCTCTGATTGATTGAACTTGAATATATTTCTTGTTCTCTTGACCACATCTTTGAGACAAATCTGAAGAAGTTCTTAGTTTCTTTTGGTAATGAAAAAGTATTGTCCTTTCAAGTAAGATAGTTTTTAAAATCTTGGTTGACTTAATAACTAAATGGTAATAAAAATCCTTAGAATTGAGTTTTAATGGTTTTTTTTGTATTTGTATGCAGTTTGAATATGATTATTGAGCACTGGTTAACCTTAACTTTTTGGCTTTTCAGAGACCACATTATAAGTTATTTTGAAAATACTTTGTTTAAAGGGTAAATACCTTGTATTTTGAATACTATAAAAAACATATAACAGTCCATTATGAAAAAAAGACCCAACTTTTTCTACTCTTTTTGTTTAATAACTTTATTTTAAAATATGGTAATGAACTTCTAAGTATATTCTGGAAATGATGTGGACCCTGGCCTACGAAGTCCTTGTGTTGTGGCTGCCACTAAAAAATTCACACGGACTAAAGAAGTCCTGTGGAGAAAAAGGGACATCATGGCCACTCTCTTAAGTGAGAGAGGGCTGTGACCCTTGCCTGGACAGGCTTTTATTGCTTTTCTGGGCACGTTACATCAAGGATGGTCCTCATTTACTATGCTCAGGTTTGCTTTAGGTGGTTATCTTTTACAGAAAACAGGAGATGATGTTGCTAATTACATCAAACAAGAACGATATTTGCAAATGAATGCAAATGCAATGCATTTGCCAGTGGCATTGCAAATGCCACAGCATGGATGGAACTGGAAAGCATTATGCTAAGTGAAATAAGGCAAGCAGTAAAAGACAAATGCCATATGAAATCACCTTTAACAGGAACGTAATCAACAAAAACAAACAAACAAACAAACAAACAAACAAGCAAAATATAACCAAAGACACTCAAATATAACCAAAGACACTCTGGAACAGGCTGACAGTAACCAGAGAGGAGAGGGGAGGGAATTTCAGGGGAAAAGGGGGAGGGTTTGCAGGAACAAGTATAAAGGACACATGGACAAAAACAAGGGGTGGAAATGGGAGGGAGGTGGGGAGGGCTGCAGGGGATGGGCTGGGATGGGGTAAAAGGCAGAAAACTGCTTGAACAACAATTAAAATAAAATTTAAATAAAATAATATAATAAAATAAAATAAAAATTATATGGAAGTAAATTTCCCAAATGCAGCTAAAGCAGTCATGAAGAACAATGTGTGAAGACTGGCTCTGAAAAATGTGAAGACATATTAAAATGCTATTAAATACATACATACATACATACATACATGGTTTGAAATTTTAGATCCAGGGTGACTTAGATGGAATATAGGGAACATATCAGATATGTTTTGCTATTATAATATCTACCGCATTTTACTACATCTTCTCTGCTTTTGATGCCAGTACTTGCTCATGAAATTTATTATTATCTTTAGTGTTTTGAAATAGACTATTTTTTCAAAAAATGTATTGAAACAATGCAAAGTATATACAGTAGCATTGTTTTGTCTCAGTAATATATTATTTAAGTGTACTACACTTTACTAATCACACATTAGTTTCAGTATCAGAATACTTAGAGAACATCTGGAGACTCTTTAATGTTATTGAAAACATGTAATTAAAGTTGTCTGCCATCAGTTTGGGTTGAACAAACTTACAGACAAAATTTGGGTTTTTCCTCAAAACTTCATTGGAACAGGTAGTAAGACTTAAAACTCCATAAGAAATTGACAAGACTTCCAAGATGGCTGTAAAGTAGATGAAAGCCGCATCCACTTCCTTTCTACTTTAAACCAATTTACAGCTAAATTGCACATCAATCAACCTGACAACAAACTGAAAGCTAGGTGATATGAAATATTATAACCAAGGAGTATAGAAGATGCTACATAGAGACTGGCAAGAAGGGTTCAGACGTAGTGGGAGAAAGCCCCCATATGCAGATGTGGTAGCAGCTGAGAAGCTGAAGATACATCCTGGCTATAGAACTCAACTCCCACTAGGAGCATAGAGTCTTAACCACATGCAGAGATCCCCATCCCAGGGCAATGGTGATGGGTAGAAGAGTCTGTATAGCATCTAGTGATGGGAATCAGTGGGGATTTATTCTGCCAGGGAGACTCAGAGCACACCCTCACAGAGTAGAGCACCTTGTTGGTTTTCAGCCTAGTCAAAATGTGTGCTAAAAAAAACAATAGTTTTTCAAAGTTTGAATAGATAAGTGTCATAATAGTTGAACTATTTTTTTTTTTTGCTAAAAAACTTTATAAAATTTTATTTACTTATCTTTAGAGGGGAAGGGAAGGAGATAGGGAGAGGAATATCAATGTATGGTTGCCTTTCCTGTATCCCCTGCTGGGAACTGGCCTGCAACCCAGGCATGTGCCCTGACTGGGAATCGAACTGCGATACTCTGGTTCACAGGCCCGCGCTCAATCCACTGAGCTACGCCAGGCAGGGCTGCTAAAAAACTTTAATACTAAAATCTAATTATTTGAGGAATAATTTGACTGTAGTTGTTAAATACAAATTTGGTTATTCTGTTTGTGTTTTTAAGTTCATTTTGTCACCAGACAATTGCCTGCATTTGAACATGAGGCAAGAGAATGTGTATCTTATGTTAAAGGACATTAATTTTCATTTAATGAATTTAATCATTTAATTAAATGATTAAATGATCATTAATGATCATTTTTGTTGCAGTCCAAATGTATATATAGAAATATTTAACTTGCTAGTTTATGTTGCCTTATCATCTATTAACCCCTTTTTATAAAGTGTTGGGAACTGATAATTATGTAGAGATCCAAAAATACAGTTAACTTAATTCTTTTTTTTTCCTTGTTTTTAGTGGGAGATTTTGATAAGATCTGGAGAGAACATTGTGAGGATGAGGAAACACTTTGCGAATATGCTGTTGCAATGAAAAATTTGGCAGATAATCATTGGGCAAAAAGTTGTGAAGGTGAAGGTCGTATTGAATGGTGTTGTAGGTGAGTGTTTTTATGAACTAATATGTTTGGTTTCTAATGTATTGTTGACACTCTCAAATTTAAATAATGCTGTGTATAATTTATTGTACCAAAATGGAAGTGTTTGAAAACAATTGATGTTTTTCAAACAACCTCTCACCCCTTGGTTCACTTTCTCTAGGTTTATTTTATTCCTTTTTAAATCAAAAGGTTTTTCTTTGATATAATTTAAATTTTTCTGCTTCAACTCTATTTAAAAGAATAGCTTTAAATACATTTAACATATTTAACATCAATCCAATAAAATGTGAAAATTAACCTGACTCATCATTAGTAAGGTAGAAGATAGAAATTTCTCTAGATAAATATCCATATTTGGATTCAAGTAGAAGTGAGTATTTTTCTATAATTTAAAATTTGAAAACTTCCGATAAGTTTCAAAATCCTGAATTTTTGATGAGTGATTCAGGGTATTCCAGCACTTATATTGATTTGGGGGGATGTTTATTTTCTCATAGTATAGATTCTAATGTTAAAAACATCAGAAAATAAAATACTGATGATAATTTTCCCAAAGTCATAAAACTGTAAGAATGGATATAAGTTAACTGGATTTTAAAATAAACTCCCAAAAAACAAATATTATCCTTCAACATGGACAATAAGTTTACAATAACATCAGTTTATATATTTTAACATGATTTTTTTAAAAAAGATTTTCCTTATTTATTTGTAGACCCAGGGGAAGGGTGGAAGACAGAGAGGGAGAGAAACATCAATGTGTGGTTGCCTCTTACCTGCCCCATACTGGGGACCTGGCCCACAACCCAGGCATGTGCCCTGACTAGGAATCAACCAGTGACTCTTTGGTTCTCAGGCCAGTGCTTAATCCACTGAGCTGTACCAGCCAGGGCTAGGTTTATATTTTATATCAAATTTTTATTCAAAATTTTGATGTTAATCTTATTTAAAAATTATGTAGTAGTGTTTGTTTCATTCATTCAACAAATGATTCAGGGAAAAAGATATATTTATACTATTTTCTTTATTTAATAATATATTTTAGTGTTGCCTACTGTGTACCTGTCATACCATAGACAATGGGAGTACAACAATTAACCAAACAGACAAAATTCGCGCTTTCATGTAGCTTATATGTATGCTAGTGGCAGTTAGAGGCAAGAAACAATATGTAAAGTAAATAGATAATAGGTCAGAAATAATAAGTGCCATGAAAAAACAAAGGAAAAATAAAAGTTTTAAATAGGGTAGACAAAGAAGACCTCACTGAAATGATATCTATAAAATACCTAAAGGAAGTGAGAGCAAAATACCCAACAAATCTAAAGCCCTTGAGGCAAGACCATGCTGGCATGTTTCAGATAGAGTAAGGAGACCACCGGTGTGGCTAGAGTAGAATGAGACGGGGAGGATGGTAGAAAACAAAATAATGAATAGCTAGATTTTTAGTTTTTTCAGGAAATTCCATACTGGAATTTTCCACAGTTTTCCACTATTTTCCACACTGGTTGCACCAGTCTGCATTCCCACCAACAATGTACTAGAGTTCCCTTTTCTCAACAACCTTGCCAGCACTTGTTTGTTGATTTGGTTATGATGATCATTCTGACTGGTGTGAAGTGGTATCTCACTGTGGTTTTAATTTGCATCTCTCTGATGGCTAGTGATGCTGAGCATGCTTTTGTACGTCTCTGGGTCCTCTGTATGTCCTCAGAGAAGTGTCTGTTCAGGTCCTTTGCCCATTTTTTAATTGGATTGTTTGTCTTCCCTGAAACACCAGTTCAAAAGAACCCAGGCACCCCAGTGTTTATAGCAGTGCAATTTATAGTAGCCAAGCGCTGAAAGATACCTAAGTGCCCACCAGTAAATGAGTGGATTAAAAAAACTATGGTACATTTACAAAATGGAGTACTATGCAGCAGAAAGGAGGTCCAACCCTTCGTGACAGCATGAATGGAACTGGAGAGGATTATGCTAAGTGAAATAAGCCAGGTAGTAAAAGACAGATACCATATCATCTCAAGTATAAGTGGAACCTAATCAGCAAAGCAAACAAGTAAGCAAAATAGAACCCGACACACTGAAACAGAGAACAACCTGATAGTAACCGGAGGGGCCAGGGTGGGGGGAACATGATAACCAGGGAAAGGAGGAAAGGGTTGTCAGGAACACATATAAGGGACCCACTGACAAAGCTGAAAAGGGGTAAGATTGAGAGTGAGAGGTGGGGGAGGGGAGAGGAGGGTGATGAGGGGGAAATGGAGACAACTGTATTTGAACAACAATTTTAAAAACAGGTAGATTTTGTAGGGGCTAGTGGACTATTATGAAGAAATTGACATTTTATTTTACATAAGATGAGAAGACATTGGATGTTTTAAGGAGTAATAGGTGTTTTTTTTTCCTTTATGATATGTCACTTAACAGGAGTTTTATTTGATAAAATTCACCTCTCAACATTGTTCAATAGAATTACATACTGTATTGTACATTTTCATTATTTCATAATATCAAGAAACTAATATTTTCTTTTATATCATATATTCATTACATTCTATGTCAACTACAGCTAACTTTTTTTCTTTTTAATTTTTTTATTGATTATGCTGTTACAGTTGTTCTATTCCCCCCTTCATTCCCCTCCACCCTACCCCCCCATCCCCACCATTACCCCCCCCTTTAGTTTATGACCATGTGTCTCAAGTCCTTTAGATTCTGTATTTCCCATGCTATTCTTGCCCCCCCCATCTATTTTCTATCTACTGTCTATGCTACTTATTTTCTGTACCTTCTCCCCCCTTCTCCTCCTCCCACTCCCCTGTTGCTAACCCTCCTTGAGATCTTCATTTCTATATTTCCGCTCCTGATCTAGCTGTCCTTTTAGTTTGCTTTCGTTTTAGGTGTGGTTAATAACTGTGAGTTTGTTGTCCTTTCACCGTTCATGTTTCTTTAACTTCTTTCTCTTAGATAAGTCCCTTTAACATTTCATATAATAAGGGCTTGGTGATGATGAACTCCTTGAATTTGATCTTATCTGAGAAGCACTTTATCTGTCCTTCCATTCTGAATGAAAGTTTTGCTGGATAGAGCAATCTTGGTTGTAGGTCTTTGGCTTTCATGACTTGGAATACCTCTTTCCAGCCCCTTCTTGCCTGGAAGGTCTCTTTTGAGAAATCTACTGACAGTCTGATGGGGACTCCTTTGTAGGTGAGTGTCCCCTTAGCTCTTGCTGCTTCAAGGATTCTCTCCTTCATTTTAATCTTGGCTAATGTAATGATGATGTGCCTTGGTGTGTTCCTTCTTGGGTCCAACTTCTTTGGGACTCTCTGAGCTTCCTGGATTTCCTGGAAGTCTATTTCCTTTGCCAGATTGGGGAAATTCTCCTTTATTATTTGTTCAAATAAGTTTTCCACTGGTGGCTGTTCCTTTCCCCCTTCTGGTACCCCTATAATTCGGATGTTGGAGCGTTTAAAGATGTCCTGGAGGTTCCTAAGACTCTCCTCATTTCTTTGAATTCTTGTTTCTTGACTCTTTTCTGTTTGGCCATTATTTGCTTTCTTCTGGTCCACTCCATTGATTTGAGTCCCAGTTTCCTTTTCATTGCTATTGGTATCCTGTGCAATTCCATTCATTTCAATTAGTTTCGCCTTCATATATTTGTCTAATTTGTCGGTATAATCAGCCAGTTCTGTGGGGATCCTGATGACTAGTGTTTTAAACTGTGCGTCTGAGAGTTTTGCTATTTCTTCATCGCTTAGATCTATAGGTTCTGGGGCTTTGAGATCTTCTTGCGACATTTTTGGTCTGTTCGCGCTCTTTAAGTGTGAGAAGCGGCGCCTTGGACTCCCAGGTCACTGGGTTGTGACGCTGTATGTGGAGGCGTGGTCAGAGCGGGCAAATGGCAACCCCCTCTGCTGTTTCTCACAGCTGGGTGAGGATTAGCGCCTTAGGTGGTTCACCTGGGCCGGGCCACTCAGAGTTGCTGGGTTATGACGCTGTATGTGGAGGTGGGGTCAGAGCAGGGAAATGGCGGCGCCCTCCACTGCCGCTTGCCACGGGGACCCGCCGGGGCCTGGTCCAACTGCCCACTCCCTCGTCTGTCCGCCCAGGCACAAATGCATGACCACAGTCAACACGCAGCACCGCTCCCCTGCTGTCTCCCCCGAGGTCGCTGGACTGGTGGCTCACTCGGTCGCTCACTAGGTCCAACACTGCGCCTGGATTCCTCGCGTCTGGATTCCGAGCCTGAGTCCGGCTGACCGAGACCTCCTGTGCAATCCCGCTTCACCAGCCGCTGGTTTCGCCCCTTACCGGTCAGGCTGAAGAATTTGTTGTTAACGGACTTCCGAAAAGTTCAGTTTTCCGTGTTCTGGCTGTGTTTTCTGTTGCTAAAATTTAGTTGTCTCTAAACTTGGTTGTGTGAGAAGGCACGGCACATCCACCTATGCCTCCATCTTGGCGGAAGTCCTCAGGAGTAATGGGTTTTTATTAGCATTTTAAAATGTCAATAATTATTAAGAATTAATTACTGTGTTAAGGTAGACTATAGGAAGGGTACAAAGATATAAGTAAAGAAACTAGTTTGGAGGCTACTGCAACAATCAAGGCACAAAATTATAGTGAAATAGTTTTTCTTAGTGAGAAAGTGAGTGAATGGATTGGACAGTGTGGCAGGATTAATGCTCAAATGAGTATAATGATTTAGAGACGTAAAGAGGTGATGGTGTCTATATTGTGATGATTATGACAATATGTAAGAAGGAAGTTGAATGAGGGAAGAGTGAGGAGCAGTGAAAAGGTGGTAGGTACCCTTGCTGGATTCTGGAATCAAAGAACAGTGGAGATGGGGTAACTGTAGGAAGGAATCAAAATAATAGGAGATGGGATATTTGGAATTAAAGTGTTTGGGGGTTTTGGTTTGTTTCTACAGAGAAAATGCTTATAAATCTGACTTTTCTACAGAATATACATTGTCTCCCTCAGCTAAGAAAATGAAGTAC